TCCCACTGTACGAAATGCATTGGCTTGAATAAGGAATTGGCTTTTGGGCAAGTCTCTGGTCAGAGACGTCCAGGAATGTCCCCCAGTGGCACAGAGTTGTGTTCCAGGGTGGCCCAAGAAAGATTTCTGGTCATAATACCAGCCCAAAGTCCAGTTTCTTATTCTGTTCCAGATACTTAGCACAGTCTCTGGTGGGTGGTGTATGTTGGCAGCCTGGCACAGCCAAACCGGGTTTTGGGCCGGGCAAGTCTCTGCTCAGAGATGTCCAGGACAGCCCTCCAGTGCCACAGAGGCAGGGGACTGGGTGGCCCAAGGAGGACTTCTGGTCATAATACCAGCCCAAAATTCAGTTCCTCATTTGGGGCCCGACACTTAGCACCGTTGCCTGGGTGCTGTCAGCTGGCAGCCTGGCATGGCCAAACCATGCTTTGGGCCGGGCAAGACTCTGGTCAGATGCATCTGGTAAAGTCCCTCAGTCATGCAGAGGTATTCCAATGGGTGGCCCAAGCAGATCATCTAGCCATATTCCCAGCCCAAAAGCCAGTTCCTTATTCGGGTCTAGATATTTGCACGGTGTCTGGGGCGGGTGTCAGCTGGCAGTCTCCCACAGCCAAACCATGCTTTAGGCCAGGCAAGTTTCTGGTCAGAGATGTCCAGGAGAGTCCCCCAGTACCACAAAGATGCTTCCTTGGGTGGCCCAAGTAGCATTTCTGGGTATAATCCTGGTCCAAATTCCAATTCCTTATTCAGGTCCAGATACTTAGCACAGTGTCTGGGCAGTGGTGTCAGTTGGCAACCTGGCGCGGCGAAACCGCATTTTGGGCTGGGGAAGTCTCTGGTCAGAGATGTTCCAGAGTGTCCCCCGGTGGCACAGGTATGGTCTGGGGTGGCTCAAGAATTATTTCTGGGTATAATCCCTGCCCAAAATCCAATTCCTTATTCAGGGCCATTCATTTAGCAGTGTCTGGAGGGTGGTATCAGTTGACAACCTGGCGCGGCTAAACAGTCCCCTAATGGCACAGAGGTATTCTGATGGGTGGCCCAAGCAGAATTTCTAGCCATAATCCCATCCTGAAAGTTCCTTATTCAAGCAATTATACTTAGCATAGTGGGCATGGAGGCTGTTAGTTGGCACAGCCAAACTGTATTTTGGGCCGGGCAGGACTGTGGTCAGGGTTCTTTGGGACAGTTCCCCAGTGGCATTGCCATGAAATTTGGGGTGGCTTAAGAAGTATTTTGCCCCATAATCCCATCCTAATATGACCTTCATTTAGGGCTCTGTACTTGATGTGGAATATTATTTTACATATTAATTAGTACATAAGTAAATTCTTTCTCTTTAGGATGTGGAATTCATTAATAACAAGTTTTTATTGGGCCTAGATTAGCTTTGAAAAAGGAACTGGGAATAAGGAATTGAACCTCAACCTCACGGCTGGAAGAGACCTCAGAGGTCAGCTAGTCCAACCTGGCAGACTCACATCTCAGTCCTAAACC